GAACTGGCAGAGACTGATGAAGAGAGAGATCTTGGAGTTGTAGCAGATAACTCACTGAAAATGTCGAGACAGTGTGTGACTGCAATAAAGAAGGCCAATGCTATGCTGGGGATTATTAGGAAGGGTATTGAAAACAGATCAGCCAATATCATAATGCCCCTATATAAATCAGTGGTGAGACCTCATTTGGAATACTGTGTGCAGTTCTGGTCACCACACCTTAAAAAGGATATTATAGCTTTGGAAAAAGTGCAGAAAAGGGCAACTCGAATGATAAAAGGGTTGGAACACTTTCCCTATGAGGGTGCTTAGGGCTCTTTAGCTTTGAGAAAAGACGACTGAGGGGTGACATGATTGAGGTTTACAAGATTATGCATGGGAAAGAGCAGGTAGAGAAAGAGGTACTTTTCTCCCTTTCTCACAATACAAGAACTCGTGGGCACTCCATGAAATTGCTGAGCGGTCGGGTTAGAATGGATAAAAGGAAGTACTTCTTCACCCAAAGAGTGATTATCTCTTTAGCTTGGAGAAATGACGACTGAGGGGTGACATGATTGAGGTTTATAAGATTATGCATGGGAAAGAGCAGGTAGAGAAAGAGGTACTTTTCTCCCTTTCTCACAATACAAGAACTCGTGGGCACTCCATGAAACTGCAGAGCGGTCGGGTTAGAACGGATAAAAGGAAGTACTTCTTCACCCAAAGAGTGATTAACACATGGAATTCACTGCCACAGGAGGTGGTGGCGGCTACAAGCATGGACGGCTTCAAAAGGGAATTAGATAGGCATATGGAGCAGAGGTCCATCAGTGGCTATTAGCCACAAGGTATAGATAGGGGCTCTGGAGCAAGTGATGCTCTGTCTTCTTGGTGCTTGGGGGGGCCAACAGTGGGAGGGCTTCTAATGTCCTGGCCCCACTGGTGGATCTCCTGATGGCACTTGGTATTTTGGCCACTGTGTGACAGAGTGTTGGACTAGATGGGCCTTTGGCCTGATACAACATTGGCGTCTCTTATGTTCTTATGGGGAAGGGAGAAAGAAGGAAGGGTGCCAATGAGGTAACCATTGCTGCCCTCAGCCAAAAGCCTGGCGGGACATCTCCACTTTTACAGGCCCTGCAGAACTGCATGAGATCCCACAGCAGGGCCCTGATGTGTCATTTGGCAAAGAGTTCCACCAGGTTGGGGCCAGGACCGAGAAGGCCCTGGCCCTGCTTGAGGACGCTTTTTCTTGTGCTACTTTTCTTTCAGTGTCGGCTATAGCTGATACTCCAAGTGAAAGGTCTGTAAACCAAAACAGCTTTCCCATTTGCTTGGCATCATCCTTAACAAGCGCAAATTGAGCCTTAGTGTTCAGAGGCAGTACACTGCTGCGTGCTGAAGGCCAGGAAGAAGCCCCAGCTTGAGCTTCTAGAGGCATCTGGCTGGAGCCAGAGTGATGGACTGAGTGGTATTTGATCTGATCCAGGCAGGCAAGCCTTACCTTCTCAGGTTGCGACACAATTAACTTGAAGAAGTGAGCAGTGACTCACGAAAGCTCACACCCTAAGACAGTGATGGCGAACCTTTTAGAGACTGAGTGGCCAAACTGCGACCCAAAACGCACTTATTTATTGCAAAGTGCCAACATGGCAATTTAACCTGAATACTGAGGTTTTACTTTAGAAAAAACAACTCATACATTAACTTAAAATGATCCAAACAAAGTAAGGAAAGCAATCCCAAATGCTTTCATTTACTTAAAATTATTTGGCAGAGAATTTGACACTTTAATGATGGTCTGGGCCTGGCTGGGGCGATGGCACGCGTGCCCACAGAGAGGGCTCTGAGTGCCACCTCTGGCACCCGTGCCATAGGTTCGCCACCACTGCCCTAAGAGGTTTACAAAATTATGCATGGGATAGAGCAGGTAGAGAAAGAAGTCCTTTTCTCCCTTTCTCACAATACAAGAACTCCTTGTGGGCACTCAATGAAATTAATGAGCAGTCGGGTTAGAACAGATAAAAGGAAGTCCTTCTTCACCCAAAGAGAAATTGACATGTAGAGTTCACTGCTTTAAGAAGTGGTGGTGTCTGCAAGCATAGCCATCTTCAAGAGGGGATTCGATAAACATGGAGCAGAGGTCCATCAGTGACTATTAGCCACAAGGTATGGATGGAACACTATGTCTAGGGCAGTGATGCTCTGTATTTTTGGTGCCTGGGGGGCAACAGTGGGAGGGCTTTTGGAGTTCTGCCCCTGCTGCTGGACCTCCTGATAGCACCTGGATTTTGGCTACTGTGTGACGCAGAGTGTTGGACTGATTCAACAGGGCTTCTGTTATGTTCTTATACACTGCTGCAAGTTTTGTCAGTCTTTAAGGTGCCACTGGACTCTTGCTCTTTTCTACTGCTACAGACAACATGACTACCCATTAAAACCTGAAGGCACATTTATTTTGTAGCCAATTCAATTCACATCAGCAAATTCAGAAAAGCGGCATACCTTTTCTTTGGATTTAATTCTAAGGTTGTTTCCCACTTTTTCTTCCTCAGGTAAAATGCGGTAGCTGCAACACCCCTAAACCTGGATTTTTTGACTTTGAAGGAAAACAGAAATGGTAAGTAGAAAACCTAGTAACTCCCAGTTATTATTGAACCACCACCACCCCCGCCCGATTATTTTGTCTTTTCTTTAGAAGATGTGAACATTAGCCTCTTTCGTATCCATTATTGAAGGAATCAGGGCGAATTTATACAGCCATATCTTGGGTTTCTCCATGCCTCGATGCTATTTGTTCTATCACAGTGGATAGAAAGTAATAGTGGTCCGGTGGTCATCGAAGCATTCCACTATGGACTGAGCTTTTGTTTAATACTCTGCTGGAAATATTAAATGTTTTAAGGTGGCCTAGCATACAGCTGATGCTCTGGTCATTACATTGGAATGTCAGTTACTTAACCGTTGTCAAATAGTATCATATTTCATGAAGATGGGAATATTCTTGTATAGGTGACCATCTGTCTTTTTAATTTCATCAGGATGTCATCTGGTAGCAAGGCAGGGGTGAGGTCTACTTTCTCCTTAGCTGTGCAGGAGTTGATGGATACTGTTTTTCATTTAGAAGCAGACACCTCCTGTCCTGCGCTATAAATCAGAACAGCATTTATAAAGTGATTTTTATCATTCCTATGTCTACGTTAATTGTAGAACTCACTTTAAAGTTAAACATATTTTTTAATTTCTTTGGGAGTGTGGATGAAAGCCAAATAAGAATTGTTGCATCTCTCGAATATTGTTTTCTTACTTTTGCCCTTACCGTAAGGGTTAGTTGTTTATAACTGATTAGAATAAAATTTAATTTGTATACTAGCAACAGTAACATTTTAAATTAGTGTTACTTTATCTTGGTTGCAGCTACAATATGGCCATACTTTAGGTGTGCTATGGGACCAGTTGATTCCCCACCAGGGTGCTTAGGTAATAATTAGCCAGTTTGGTGTAGTAGTTAGGAGCACGGACTCTAATCTGGGAGAACCGGGTTTGAGTCCCTACTCCTCCACATGCAGCTCCCGGTGTGACCTTGGGTAAGTCACAAGTTCTTTCAGAACTGTTCTCTCAGGAGCAGTTCCCGAAGGAGCTCTCTCAGCCCCACCTACCTCCCAGGGTGTCTGTTGTGGGGAGGGGAAGGAAAAGGAGACTGTGAGCCACTCTGAGACTCCGTTGGGTAGTGAAGGGCAGGGTATAAATCCAGTCTCTTCTAATTTTGCCACCACTGTTTCCATCCAGAGTGAGAGAAAAGCTCACTGTAAGTGTCTTAAAAGGCCCAAATCCGCGGCTATTCTCTGTGGAACTGCTAAACTGCTTTTGAAACTCCACAGAGTTTAAAGAGTAGTTTAGAAGGGAAGCTGCCAAAAATGGTGCCTGCATGTGCTGTTTTTGTATCGCTGACTTCTGCATGACAACCCTGTATGCCCAGGGCAGGTTAGAGTATCAGTGATAAGAAGCTGCTGACAGGCAGGTATTTAAAAATAATGGTGCTGATTCATTTTTTTAATTGGCCCTGTGTCATTAGAAAACAGATTTAAATAGAACTTTTCGTGATTTTTGCCCTGAGGTTAACTGGGTCAAATAATGATGCAGGGACAGAAAGGGCAAAAAACTGAACCTTAACACTAAAATTCAGAACCTAACAAAGGTTAGTAAAATGTGAAAAAGAGGGCCAATATATATATTTGATGTGAATGGGCCCTTATATATGTTTTAAATTTGTACTTAATAAATACATGTAGCTTTACATTTAGTTTTTAATATTGGCCCTCTTTTTCACATTTTACTAACCTTTGTTAGTTTCAAATAATGATGCACAATTGTGTGTAGGAACTGATTGTGGATATGGAACGAATTATGAGAGTCTAATTCAGGATGCGGAATGAGAGGGAGGAAATCTGGAGTTAGTTGTTGAACGTCTGCTGAATGTTGGTTTCTTTTCCTTTCCACGTGTGTTCCAGGGAAGCTTGGAAAGCACTGGGTGATACAAGTCCTGAGCAGGCGATGCGAGAGTATATTGCCACAGTGAAGAAACTGGACCCCACTTGGAATCCACAGGTACACTTAATTAGCGCCACAATTCCTTGTTGAGGACAGTAAACGGAATGCAGCCTGCCAGCCATGCATCCCT